CCCGCCCGTTTTTGGGGCGATTTCAGTCATGTTGAAAATCGCCCAGAAGTCTGTCATAGACTCCCATGTAAAATCTATTTTTTTCAAATTTCAAAGCTTTCAATACAATCTCTATGGGTGTCTGTGGGCTTGCACTTACGCGCTTTCGTCATACGTGACGTAACCATGAACGTAACTAAGAAAATAGCGGCTAGCAGCGTCTCTGTTGCGACCTGCAGTGTGGCGTTATCTTATGTTTTTAATTTGTACACTTAGTGGCGTTATTTTATGTTTTTAATTTGTACACTTAGTTTACAAACATTCTGCCAACCATGGATTTCCAGTGGTGGGTTTTGGACTGATCTTGTTGATCGTGTACATACCCGCTACGAACGGACTAAATAATGAAAACGCTGCTGGCAGCGGAATCCAATACAGCTGGGAGACTTGGCTGGATGACAGAGTCCCGGACAGAGAAGTGGAGCCGGCCGGCTTCACCCTGGTCAGAGCGGACCGCGATCTGACAGTCACAGGGAAAATCGATCCTGGTAAGAGAGCGACTCTGTACCCCCCGACATTGAACTGCTTTCTGTGTCACTGCGACCTTACTATCTGCCCCGTGAGTTCCCCCAATTGTTTGTTACCGTTGTGTACTGTTGATAATCACAAGTTTACTGGAGAACTGAGACCAAGTAGAGACTTTGGACAGGGTGGATATGGTATAATAAAGGCAGTTTATTCAGAGGTAAAGATATCTGGAATCGCGTGCACGGACTCGTTCGTCAAACTCTTAGGGAGCTATCTGAAGAGAGCCCCGAAAACATTGTGTGCAGACATTTTATACAATAAATGATGTAGGTTGAATCTAGTAGTTCTGATCTTCTGATTGGTCCTGATGAGTTGGGCGAGGTCCCCTCCACTGTTGCATTGGCTCTGAGTCGGGTTCTCTGTCTTCAAATGTTCAGCCTAAAGAGAGGGGATTTTTGTGTGTGTGTGTGTGTGTGTTTAACAGTGATGATGTGTGTGTGTGTGTGTGTTATCAGTGATGATGTGTGTGTGTGTGTGTGTGTGTGTGTGTGTGTGTGTGTGTGTGTGTCCTCAGAGCAAGAACTCGTGAGTTGGAAGAACTGAGAGACCTATGGCGTGGGTGTTGTCCTTGGCCACCTGCTGACAAGGCTGACAAGATAGGACTCTTTTGTCCATTGTTATAGGATAGGAACAGCATTGATTGAAAACAAACGCCCAACACAAAATGGGTCATGCACAAGATTTTAGTCAGACCAAGCTATAACATTATATATTTACTACGACAGTACATTCAACCAAAAGCTAATATAACAAAGGCATCAGAGATTATTTATAATCTGTCACAGAAACTGGAATCCATCTCCCCAGATCAGTCAATAAATGCTTCTGGTATTGACTTATATGCTGCCCCTGTCTTCATGTTGTTGCTGGACATATCTTTTTTAAAATGTATGTAGGTCACCTAAATCATCAGAAAAATTGCCCCTCCTGAGAATTTTTTCAGGAGCCGCCACTGCCCAAAAATAATGGGCAGGTGGAAAGGGTGAATCAAGATGTGGGTAGGTTACTGTCAGGACCGGCCGGGGGAGTGGTTGGTATTCCTGCCATGGGCAGAATACGCTCAGAACTCTCTCCGCCACTCCTCCACTAACCTACAATGAGGGAAAAAAGTATTTGATCCCCTGCTGATTTTGTACATTTACCCACTGACAAAGAAATGATCAGTCTATAATTTTAATGGTAGGTTTATTTGAACAGTGAGAGACAGAATAACAACATAAAAATCCAGAAAAACGCATGTCAAAAATGTTATAAATTGATTTGCATTTTAATGAAAGATTTAGGAGCACACTCTTAAAGGGAGTGCTCCTAATCTCAGCTTGTTACCTGTATAAAAGACACCTGTCCACAGAAGCAATCAATCAATCAGATTCCAAACTCTCCACCATGGCCAAGACCAAAGAGCTCTCCAAGGATGTCAGGGACAAGATTATAGACCTACACAAGGCTGGAATGGGCTACAAGACCATCGCCAAGCAGCTTGGTGAGAAGGTGACAACAGTTGGTGCGATTATTCGCAAATGGAAGAAACACAAAAGAACCGTCAATCTCCCTCGGCCTGGGGCTCCATGCAAGATCTCACCTCATGGAGTTGCAATGATCATGAGAACGGTGAGGAATCAGCCCAGAACTACACGGCAGGATCTTGTCAATGATCTCAAGGCAGCTGGGACCAAAGTCACCAAGAAAACAATTGGTAACACATTACGCCATGAAGGACTGAAATCCTGCAGTGCCCGCAAGGTCCCCCTGCTTAAGAAAGCACATATACATGCCCGTCTGAAGTTTACCAATGAACATCTGAATGATTCAGAGGAGAACTGGGTGAAAGTGTTGTAGTCAGATGAGACCAGAATGGAGCTCTTTGGCATCAACTCATCTCGCCGTGTTTGGAGGAGGAGGAATGCTGCCTATGACCCCAATAACACCATCCCCACCTTCAAACATGGAGGTGGAAACATTATGCTTTGGGGGTGTTTTTCTGCTAAGGGGACAGGACAACTTCACCGCATCAAAGGGACGATGGACGGAGCCATGTACCGTCAAATCTTGGGTGAGAACCTCCTTCCCTCAGCCAGGGCATTGTAAATGGGTTGTGGATGGGTATTCCAGCATGACAATGCCCCAAAACACACGGCCAAGGCAACAAAGGAGTGGCTCAAGAAGAAGCACATTAAGGTCCTGGAGTGGCGTAGCAGGTCTCCAGACCTTAATTCCATATAAAATCTGTGGAGGGAGCTGAAGGCTCGAGTTGCCAAACGTCATCCTCGATACCTTAATGACTTGGAGAAGATCTGCAAAGAGGAGTGGGACAAAACCCCTCCTGAGATGTGTGCAAACCTGGTGGCCAACTACAAGAAACGTCTGACTCTATAACAATTTATAATTTTTGACATGCGTTTTTCTGGATTTATTTGTTGTTATTCTGTCTTTCACTGTTCAAATATACCTACCATTAAAATTATAGACTGATCATTTCCTTGTCAGTGGTTAAACGTACAAAATCAGCACGGGATCAAATACTTTTTTCCCTCACTGTAACACCCTTCCAATGTGTTTTGGGTTACCAACCGGTCCTGGCACCGTGGCACCAGAGCCAGACCGAGGCTCCTGCGGTGGATGACTGGTTTCGTCGCGCGGAGGAGACTTGGGACGCTGCCCACGTTCGGCTCCAGCGCGCCATGCGTCATCAGAAGGCGAACGTTGACCGCCACCGCAGGGAGGCCCCGGTTTTCGTACCGGGGGATCGGGTCTGGCTCTCGACCCGGAATCTACCCCTCCGCCTGCCCTGCCGGAAGCTGAGCCCGCAGTTTGTGGAGCCGTTAAACGTCCTGAGGAGGATAAACAAGGTTACTTACAGGTTGTTACTCCCCCCCTGATTACCGTACTAACCCCTCTTTTCATGTGTCTCTCCTCAGGCCGGTGGTAGCTGGTCCACTCCAGGAGTCTGAGGTGCGGGAGGTTCCTTCACCTCCTCTGGACATCGAGGGGGCCTCGGCGTACTCGGTCCGTTCCATACTGGATTCGAGGCATCGGGTGGGGGGCCTTCAGTATCTCGTGGAGTGGGAGGGGTACGGTGCTGGTCCCAAGGAGGGACATCCTCGATCCCTCCCTGTTGAGGGATTTCCACCGTCGCCATCCGACTCGCCCTGCCCGCGTCCTCCTGGCCGTCCCCGAGGCCGGGTTCGGCGCACTGCTGGAGCCGCGCATCAAGTGGGGGGGTACTGTCACGACTTCCGCCCAGGCTGCCTCCCCTCCTTGTTCAGGCAGGTTTCAGGGTTCGTCGTCACCAGCTTACTAGCTACTGCCGATGACATTCTCATCACTCCACTTGTCATGTCTTGTCTAGTCAATCACACACACCTGGTGCTCATTCCACTAATTAGTATGTGTATAAGTGTTCCCTCTTTTCCCCATGTCTTTGTGAGTGATGGTTTATTATGAGAGCGAGTAGCTTGGTTGAGCTACTCTTCTATTTGTACTTGCCAAGGTGGAATATTTTCCCTTGTATTAGTTTCGTTTTCACGCTGGGAGCGTTTGATTTATGTAAACGGAATAAACTCTGGACTTCGGTATTTTACCTCCTGCGCCTGACTCCTTCCTTCACACCTCATCACAGGATTAGTTTAGAAAAATGTATATTATTTATATTTGTGTAGCATAAGATTAATCAATCAATCATTTAATGTACTTGCAAAAACACAGATATTTAAAACAATTTGTTTTATCAACCTGCAGTAGAGCATGCTGGGTAAAAAGTTAATTTGTTATCATAACTTTAAAACATTTAGTTGATGTGACTTCTCATTTAGTTTTAAGTCAGTACCACAAATATTTTAATTAATAATGACTTTTCATTGACTTTGTTTTCAACTTATTAGAAGTAATGGAGTTAAAAATGCCTTCGGGTTACAGCGCAGTCCCAATCAAGTGGGAACCAGTCAAAACACTCCATAATATTCTGCAAACAATTCTCGTTGTCTGGGACTTCTGACTTCAGAAGACACACTAAAGAAGGACACGCTAAACAATACAGGAGGACAGTGATCCTCCCCATTCCCCTGAGGCACAAAGCTGAATCCCAAATTGCCCGGGCACTCTCTAATATCTAATGGTTGTATGACTGTCACTGCTATTGCAATTCATTTCCATTGACTCCCGTCTAAAGAGAAGCTTGTCGCTTGTCGGTCTCCCATCTCCCATATGGCAGGGCCTATTTGGGTACAGAGAGGCTGGGGCTGCATCTCAAATGCCCCCTGTGTCCTATATAGTGCATTGCTTTTGACCAGGGCCCATAGGGAACCTGATAAGGCTCTGGTCAAAGGTAGTGCACTACATAGGGAATAGGGTGTCAAGTGGGATGCAGGGGCTGAGTTGATGAGGCCAGACCGTTGAATATTGCTGGAGAAATAAGAGAAGGCGGCGGTCCTGAAATGGGAATCCCAGAGCGAGGGACCGCCTGTCAGCCTCGTCTATGCTGGGATTATCCCAGAGAAGAGACAGCGTTTTTATTGGTCTGTGTCTTTTCTCTCTCTCTCTCTCTCTCTCTCTCTCTCTCTCTCTCTCTCTCTCTCTCTCTCTCTCTCTCTCTCTCTCTCTCTCTCTCTCTCTCTCTCTCTCTCTCTCTCTCTCTCTCTCTCTCTCTCTCTCTCTCTCTCTCTCTCTCTACCACTGAGACTTTCAGTCTAATAACTCAGTGACACAATCTCTCGCTCTCTTTCTTTCCATCTCTATTGCGCTCTCTCGCCACTTTCTTTCTATTTGTCTTTCCCTCTTTCTCCCTCTCCCTTTCTCTCTCTCTCTTTATCAAATTTCTCTCTCTTTTTCGCACACTGTGGCCCCTCTATCTCTGACAGCTGTGAAGGTCTCACCACTGTCCTTTCTTTTCTTTGTTCATTTTCCTCCGGCTTAAGTTGTTTTCATGAAGGACGTTGTGCGACTTTGGCTGGATACAGAACTTGGTGTTATTAACAGAGCTCTATTTTCTGTGAGATGAAGGACATCACTAGCCCTTTAAAAGTGAAAAAGCAGGATATGGCAGTTTTGACTTTGTTTGTTACTTTTACCAGTAGTCATTGTCACATTTGACATTACAGTAGGTTACATAATATAAGCATTTACAAAGCCTTTATAAATGTTGCATAAGCATCTACCATGTTAAAATGCAATTGCTGTTTATCAACGTAAAGCCAGTGTTGTAGTATATTATGTAAGAGTGTATTACCACACTAATATTAACTTGTCATAATTCTCAATAAACTGTGAATATTCTGCATTATACACTGTGTACAAATGATTAGGAACACCTGCTCTTTTATGACATAGACTGACCAGGTGAATTCAGGTAAAAGCTGTCATCCCTTATTGATGTCCCCTGTTAAATCCATTTCAATCAGTGTAGATGAAGGGGAGGAGACAGGTTAAAGAAGGATTTTGAGACAATTGCGACATGGATTGTTTATGTGTGCCATTCAGAGGGTGAATGGGCAAGACAAAATATTTAAATGCCTTTGAAAGGGGTATGGTAGTAGGTACCAGGCGCACCGGTTTGAGTGTGTCGAAAACTGCAATGCTGTCGGGTTTTTCACGCTCAACAGTTTCCCGTGTGTATCAAGAATGGTCCACTATCCAAAGAACATCCAGCCAACTTGACACAACTGTGGGAAGCATTGGAGTCAACATGGGCCAGCATCCCTGTGGAACGCTTTCAGTACTTTGTGGAGTCCATGCTCAGACGAATTGAGGCTGTTCTGAGGGCTAAAGGGGGTGCAACTCAATATTAGGAAGGTGTACATTACATATTCTGCATTATGACATAAAATAAGGCAGAAGAAAACCTACCTACCTTCCTAAAAATACTAGATCACCTATAAAGTGTCTCACCCTGGAATCCCTGACAACCTGACCTACCAATTATTACTGAGGCTCATTTACCATTCTATCTCTGAGACAGAAATCTATATCCAGAACCATTCTGGGGAAAGCAGGGGATGAGTCCCAAATGCCACCCTATTCCAATAGTGCAATATTTTTGACCAGGGCCCATAGGGTATCACAAAGGGCTTTGGTCAAAAGTACTGCACTAAATAGGGAATATGATGCCATTTGGGGACCCAGGATTCCTGCCTGCAGAGGAGAAGGTATGAATGTGAGTGGACAGATGGGGATCCGGTCAGGAAATGGAGGGGAACTAAGAGAGTGTATTGATCCTGTGGCTTAATTAAACATGGAGCTGCTTTATTCTTTACTAAGCAAGACTGTAAGACATGGCCCACAGTGTGTGGGTGCTACTTTTATTCATTATTTTTATTGCCCCATCCTCTTCGGAGGACAAAAGTAACTTTGTTTTAAATTGTGTTTTTTTACAGCTTGTTTTTTTTACATATACATTTTACCCACATTTTACATACATGGTACTTTGCTACACAGTATTACACAATCTACAGAGCTGAGATTGTTGGACACTTTCTTGTTGGCCTAAAGTTATATCCTATTTTTGACTTTGGTGCAGTTCACTTTCTTTTTGTTCTCTTTTTGATTCCCTCAGCATATTTGCAATCAAACGCCAACATTTTCTCCATCTCCTTAGCTTTCATACTCTGCTTCCACCGGCCATTCCACTGATTTAGAAATTCAGTCCTCCAGAAAGTGGAGAGCATTAGCAACACTTTTGCAGTTCTTCACGATATCTTTCAAAAAAGCCGTGTTACAAAGGATTAACTACACATACTGAGCAGCTCATGTTATAGACAGAAGCGTGTTACATGGCAGATCAATCCGAACTCGTCTCTCGGCATGTCCAGTCCAGCCAATATCTCAGCCAATCATGGCTAGCGGAAAGGTTCCTGTCTTTTTCCGTGGCTGAACCAACTAGGCTTGTAATTTAACAATTGTATTCGTATTTACAAATGGCACACAAGTTTGTTATTAAGGCACATGAAAGTTCACATGTTCCAGAAGGCATTTCTGCCCAAAAACACATTTTGGTTAAAAATAAATTACGTTCAAATGCCTCTCCTTTGAAGTAGTGATGCTCGACATAGGCCTAGTTTCCTGAAATGTGTCACAAATGTTTTTTATCAATCAGTATATTTTAGTTTAACAATAATATTTGTTGCAATATTTATTCTGTCTTTTCTGGAGGAAAAATGTAAATTGTAACCAGCTTTGTATGGCTTGTTTAAGAAAGGGAGATACTTTTTACAACGTTTCATTTTCAATTAACCAAAAAGGATGAGCCTTTCTTAGTAATCTACTGGAGAACCAGTTCGGATTTCAGTATAACTTCTGTATTAATAAAGCTTTAAGTGAGAGGTTTAATGCTTTAATATTTAATAATTTCAGCCCCCCAAACTCATATTCATTATTTAAATAGGCACGTTTAATTTTGTCTGGCTTAGCGTTCCAAATAAAGTGAAATATTTTTTGTAACCATTATTAACTATTTTACACCTGGGGTTGCTATACATAACCTTAACCCATTGTATAAGAGATTCACCGAAATTGAAATTGTCCAGGAATTTATATATAAATTCTAGTTGTACTTTATCAAAAGCATTTTCAAAATCTGCTATGGAGACCAGGCCTGGTTCCTTTGACATTTCATATTGTTCTATTGTTTCAAGTAATTGTCGTATATTATCTCCAATGTCTCCTCCATGTAAAAAACATGTCTGATCAGGATGAACAATATCTGGTAAAACCTTTTTAATTCTATGCACTATGCATTTCATCAGGATTTTTGCATCACAACATTGAAGTGTAAGAGGCCTCCAGTTTTTTAAATGGATTGGATTTTTATACTTACCACCTGGGTCCTGTTTCAGTAATAGTGAAATCAGACCTTCTTGCTGCGTACCCGATAGTCTACCATTTTTATAGGAGTAGTTAAAACATGCTAATAGTGGATCTTTGATTACATAACAAAAGTTTTGATATACTGGGGTTTTTACATTTACATTTTAGTCATTTAGCAGACGCTTTTTTTCCAGAGCGACTTACAGTTAGTGAGTGCATACATTATTTTTTTATTCCCGTGGGAATAAATTTTTACGGATGAAAGGTTTGAATTGCCTCAAGAAGTAGTTCCTCCACTGTAAGTTGGCCTTCACACAGGTCTTTCTGTACAATTGATGATTTTACATTATTATTATTAGGGAAAATACAGTTAACATCATTCAGTGGAGATGGAGGAGACTGAAAAGATAACATATGCTTAAAATATAATTTGGTGAATCGTGGATGACTCCGTCATTTGTAACGAGTTTCTGTAAATTCTTTTTGTAGCATTTCTATGATGGATATTCAAGACAAATGTAGTGATTTTATTATTATTATTATAATATCATCAACACTTTTGAATGTGTTTGCCCATGACAGAAGTCCCCTCAGTCCTTTTTCCAAACAACTTCGTCTATAGACGTAGAGTGAGTTTGCTGTAAACAATATATTTTATATTCCTTCTCTTTCAGCCAGGTAAAGATTGATCGTGTTTTCTTATTACAGTGCATTCGGAAAGTATTCAGAGCCCTTGACGTTTTCCATATTTTGTTACGTTACAGCCTTATTCTAAAATTGATAAAAAAACACAAATTCTCATCAATCTACACACAATACCCGATAATGAAAAAAGCAAAAACAGTTTTTTGACATTTTTGCAAATGTATTAAAAATAACAAAAACTGAAATATTACATTTACATAAGTATTCAGACCCTTTACTCAGTACTTTGTTGAAGCACCTTTGGCACAGCTATTTTCAGGCCTCTCCAGAGATGTTTGATCGGGTTCAAGTCCGGTCTCTGACTGGGACACTCAAGGACATTCAGAGACTTGTCAAGAAGCCACTCCTGCATTGTTTTGGCTGTGTGCTTAGGGTTGTTGTCCTGTTGGAAGGTGAACCTTCACCCCAGTCTGAGGTCCTGAGCGCTCTGGAGCAGGTTTTCATCAAGGATCTCTCTGTACTTTGCTCTATTCATCTTTCCCTCGCTCCTGACTAGTCTCCCAGTCCCTGCCACTGAAAAAGATCCCCACAGCATAATGCTGCCACAACCATGCTTCACCGTAGAGATGGTGCCAGGTTTTCTCCAGACGTGACAGTTGGCATTCAGGCCAAAGAGTTCAATCTTGGTTTCATCAATCCAGAGAATCTTGTTTTCATGGTCTGCGTCCTTTAGGTCCCTTTTGGCAAACTCCAAGTGGGCTGTCATGTGCCTTTTACTGAGGAGTGTCTGGCCACTCTACCATAAAGGCCTGATTGGTGGTGTGCTGCAGAGATGGTTGTCCTTCAGGATGGTTCTCCCATCTCCACAGAGGAACTCTGAAGCTCTGTCAGAGTGACCATCGGTTTCTTTGTCACCTCCCTGACCAAGGCCATTCTCCCCTGATTGCTCACTGGAGGAGATGCTCACCCCGTCCTTTTCCTCCGTGGGATGATCAAACACCGCCCTGAACCGAGAGAGGAAGGTGGAGTAGGGAAGTGCCACTGCCTCCCCTTCTTCCCAGACTGCCGTGGCCCAATCCAGCGCCTTTCCTTTAAGTAGCGAAATCGCCAGCGCTATCCTGGCTTGATCAGATGGATATGCCCCAGGCTGATGCGCCAGATAAAGTGAAACCTGTAGCAGGAAGCCGCTACATTTAGTAGTTTTACCGTCATAGCGCTCCGGTATGGCGAGGGTTCCCTCAGAAGTGGGTGATAGCTTGGGAACAGGTGGATTGGGTTCACTCGCCGCTCCCTGAGGTGGAACCGGAGCGCTGGGGTGCAGAGATGATGAGGTGCAGGTGTGCTGGAGGTGATTAGGGTGCTTTGGGTTTCCATTCCTGTGTTTGCAGAGGTGGTGCGCTCAGACCGGTGGCTCAGTAAACCGGCAAAACAGAGCGCCGGATGGGAGCAAAGGAAGGAGACGTGACACACATACACACAATCACATGACATCATATAGTAGATACACACTCACATGCATTCTCTAAGACACACTCTCTCACATGTGCACACTCCATCTCATTCTCTATTTCACTCTCTCAAACATACACACATCACATGAATGCACTCACATAGGGAGAATCTCAATTGAATACTCCTCACGTCCTCTCTCCTCACCTCCTAAAAACCCATTGGATGAGAAAGCCAGAGGTCCCACCCCTCTGACCTTCTCCTCCAATGGGTTTTGAGAAAGAGGCGAGGAAAGAGGACGCGAGGCGTATGCAATTGATATTCTCCCATAGTACACACATACAGTTGAAGTCGGAAGTTTACATGCACTTAGGATGGAGTCATTAAAACTCGTTTTTCAACAACTCCACAAATTTCTTGTTAACAAACTATAGTTTTGGCAAGTCGGTTAGGACATCTACTTTGTGCATGACACAAGTAATTTTTCCAACAATTGTTTACAGACATATTATTTCACTTATAATTCACTGTATCACAATTCCAGTGGGTCAGAAGATTACATACACTGAGTTGACTTTGCCTTTAAACAGCTTGGGAAATGCCAGAAAATTATGTCATGGCTTTAGAAGCTTCTGATAGGCTAATTGACATCATTTGAGTCAATTGGAGGTGTACCTGTGGATGTATTTCAAGGCATACCTTCAAACCCAGTGCCTCTTTGCTTGACATCATGGGAAAATCTAAAGAAATCAGCCAAGACCTCAAAAACAAAATTGTAGACCTCCACAAGTCTGGTTCATCCTTGGGAGCAATTTCCAAATGCCTGAAGGTACCACGTTCATCTGTACAAACAATAGTATGCAAGTATAAACACCTTGGCACCACACAGCCATCATACCCCTCAGGAAGGAGACGGGTTCTGTCTCCTAGAGATTAACGTACTTTGGTGCGAAAAGTGCAAATCAATCCCAGAACAACAGCAAAGGACCTTGTGAAGATGCTGGAGGAAACAGGTACAAAAGTATCTATATCCACAGTAAAACAAGTCTTATATTGACATAACCTGAAAGGCCGCTCAGCAAGGAAGAAGCCACTGCTCCAAAACCGCCATAAAAAGCCAGACTACGGTTTGCAACTGCACATGGGGACAAAGATCGTACTTTTTGGAGAAATGTCCTCTGGTCTGATGAAACAAAAATGTTGAAGCACGGGGGTGGCAGCATCATGCTGCGGGGGTGCTTTGCTGCAAGAGGGACTGGTACACTTCACAAAATAGATGGCATTATGAGGAAAAAAAATTATGTGGATATATTGAAGCAACATCTCAAGACATCAGTCAGGAAGTTAAATGTGTCTTCCAAATAGACAATGACCCCAAGCATACTTCAAAAGTTGTGGCAAAATGGCTTAAGGACAACAAAGTCAAGGTATTGGAATGGCCATCACAAAGCCCTGACCTCAATCCTATAGAAAATCTGTGGGCAGAACTGACAAAGCGTGTGCGAGCAAGGAGGCCTACAAACCTGACTCAGTTACACCAGCTCTGTCAGGAGGAATGGGCCAAAATTCACCCAACTTATTGTGGGAAGCTTGTGTAAAGCTACCCGAAACGTCTGACCCAAGTTAAACAATTTAAAGGCAATGCTACCAAATAGTAATTGAGTGTATGTAAACTTCTGACCCACTGGGAATATGATGAAAGAAATAAAAGCTGAAAGAAATCATTCTCTCTACTATTATTCGGACATTTCACATTCTTAAAATAAAGTGGTGATTGTAACTGACCTAAGACAGGGCATTTTTACTAGGATTAAATGTCAGGAATTGTGAAAAACTGAGTATAAATGTATTTGGCTAAGGTGTATGTAAACTTCCGACTTCAACTGTACTCTCACATACACGCCTACATCTCCTCCAAATTCCCAAGATGCCCTCCCTCTCAAATTTGCATGCTCCACATTATCTATCTTTATACAATGGGTGGGTCTAATCCTGGATGCTGATTGGTTAAAATCGCATTCCAGACGGTGTCTATTCCGCAATTTGCCACCGGCTAAATCTTTGACGTTATAATGCCTATTTACTCTGTTCCATCTGACTGCGCAATCCACTGTCTCATCAGCCCAGCCAGGCAACTTATAAACTTGATCTCCACTATAAAAAGCATCTAGACATTATCTCACATTTCTTTTAGACAAACATTTCGTTTTCAACGGTCGAGATTTGTATAAACCTTGCTGTCTGTCTCTCCGACATTTGCAACATTGTTTCAATATTCAAAATCGATCTCCTGCTGTCCCATAGTAATGACCGTATCGGGAGTCGGGACGCGACAGACAGGCAAGCAGCGTTTCTCAGCCGGTCGAAATAATGAATCAGTAGGCATCATTTTTATGGATATATACAAAAACAATTCTATTGAAAAAAGGTCAAACGAAAGGCAGCTAATTTGCAGTCTTTCCAGCTTCAGTTTGAAGTGATTGTGTTACTGTAGCTGTGTTGTTGGCTAGCTCCTCTGAACAACAGTGTCCTGACGAGTGAACACATTTTCTATGCTAGGCGAAATCACGCCTCGTCAGCTCATAATATCAAAATATGTCAATCATTATTTTAATATATTGGTAACCCGTTGTATAAAAGTGATATTGAACTCGAAGCTAGTGTTTGGATGATATATTGGCACGGTTTAACAACACCCATGTCAATATATCCTCCGTGTTTGCTTCGAGGGCATTATCACTAACTGTCACACACACAAGCATGCACGCACTCTCTCTTTTACACACTCTCCTTCACACACACACACACCTGAGTGGGTTGCTGGTGTTGAGCGTGGGCTCCATCATTGTGCCCATCGGAGGGAGACTGATGGAGGTTGGCAGACAGGCATTTAGGGAGGCGTCCGTCTGCTCCTCACGGCGAGGCAGCACAAGCCTCCATTCATCTCCATTACAGCTGTCCACATGGCAGTGGGCAGGGGACAACTCCACCGAGACAGACAGACAGGGGGGAGGGAGAGAGTGGAGGAGAGACTGTCATAAACCCTGTTTCACTGCCTATGACTCCTGTTCCTCCATCTAAATGCTGCTGTTGTAGAACAGAAAGGGAGGAGAGAAAGAGAGAGAAAGACAGAGAAATACAGTGCATTTGGAAAGTATTCAGACCCTTTGACTTTTTCCACATTTTGTTACGTTACAGCCTTATTCTAAAACTGATTTAATTGGTTTTTCCCCCTAATAAATCTACACACAATACCCCATAATGACAAAGCAAAAACAGGTTTTTATAATTTTTTGCAAATGTTTATAAAAAAAAAACGGAAATATGACATTTACATAAGTATTCAAACCCTTTACTCAGTACTTTGTTGAAGCACCTTTGGCAGTGATTACAGCCTTGAGTCTTCTTGGATATGATGCTACAAGCTTGGCACACCTGTATTTGGGAAGTTTCTCCCATTCGTCTTTGCATATCCTCTCAAGCACTGTCACGTTTGATGGGGAGCATCGCTGCACAGCTATTTTCAGGTCTCTCCAGAGATGTTCAATCGGGTTCGAGTCCGGGCTCTGGCTGGGCCACTCAAGGACATTCATTCACTTGTCCCGGAGCCACTCCTGCGTTGTCTTGGCTGTGTGCTTAGGGTCGTGTGCTTAAGTTCTGCCCCAGTCTGAGGTCCTGAGCGCTCTGGAGCAGGTTTTCATCAAGGATCTCTCTGTACTTTGCTCCGTTCATCTTTCCCTTGATCCTGACTAGTCTCCCAGTCCCTGCCGCTGAAAAACATCCCCACAGCATGATGCTGCCACAACCATGCTTCACCGTAGGGATGGTGCGAGGTTTCCTCCAGACTTGACACATGGCATTCAGGCCAAAGAGTTCAATCTTGGTTTTATCAGACCAGAGAATCTTGTTTCTCATGGTATGAGTGTCCTTTAGGTGCCTTTTGGCAAACTCCAAGCTGGCTGTCATGTGCTTTTTACTGAGGAGTGGCTTCTGTCTGGCCACTCTACCATAAAGGCCTGATTGGTGGAGTGCTAAAGAGATGGTTGTACTTCTGGAAGGTTCTCCCATTTCCACAGAGGAACTCTGGAGCTCTATCAGAGTGACCATCGGGTTCTTGGTCACCTCCCTGACCAAGGCCCTTCTCCTCAGATTGCTCAGTTTGGCCGGGCAGCCAGCTCTAGGAAGAGTCTTGGTGGTTCCAAACGTCTAGAATGATGGAGGCCACTGTGTTCTTGGGGACCTTCAATGTTGCAGAAATGTGTTGGTACCCTTCCCCAGATCTGTGCCTCAACACAATCTTGTCTCGGCTCTCTACCGACAATTCCTTTGACCTCAAGGCTTGGTTTTTGCTCTGACATGCGCTGTCAACTGGTGGATCTTATATAGACAGGTGTGTGCCTTTCCAAATCATGTCCAATCAATTGGATTTAAAACAGGTGGACTCCAATCAAGTTGTAGAAACATCTCAAGGATGATCAATGGAAACAGGATGCACCTGAGCTATTTTAGAATAAGGTTGTAATGTAACAAAATCTGGAAAAAGTCAAGGGTTCTGAATACTTTCCGAATGCACTGTAGGTACAAATATGATCGATAGACATAGGATTATATTCCTTGTCTACAGAAGGGTGTCCCAAACTCGATCCTTGGGCCCCCACTTGGTGAACATTTTTGTATATGCCCTAGCACTACACAGCTGAATAAAATAACCAATTTATTATCAAGTTTGGATTATTTGAATTAGCTGTGTAGTGTTACGGCAAACCCCAAAACGTGCACCCAGGGTAGAACAGACCAAAAGAACATGGCAAAATGCTAAACCATTTAAGGTTATAGACTTGTTTCCAGTGCAATCTGTCCCCTACACATTTTAAATTGATGGGGCTATAACCACATAGGAGTTAAATTGGTACAGCATTCTAACTCACGGGTGCAACAAATATAGCCTCTTACAAGGCACACCTCAAAATATGTTAATTAGCCAGAAACAACAATACCATGCACCCACTAGCGGTCAAAATATTGTTGGCGCTCTAAAGATACGGTACGGTACTGCATTCTCTGGGGTGGAATTACAGTACCATTTGAAATACAGCAATTATTTTCTCGCTCACAAATGTTTCCCACAATGCACCATCATTTACAGTATCATGCAGTAAAATGTTTCAGAGTATTTTACTGTTGATAATACCAAAAAAAATGTATAATTTACAGTTTTCCGTTATAGTGTATGTTTGCTGAGTCAAATACAGTCGTTGACTGCCTTAAGACGGTTTAGGCGCAGAGAATTTAATAATGAATGTGTGCATGCCTACCCACGAAGATGCAGAGACGTTAAGTCTAGTGGTTCATTATACCACAAATATGCTAATTAACATTGGTTTGATGGGATTAATGAACATCTCAGCGTGATAATCTTCTGGGAGAAAGTGTTGACAAAACAGACGCACTAAATCACTCTAAATGATCTGTTTGTGTGGCCCGTTGATAGCTTGTTACCGCGGTGATGTGGTTGTTTTCATCAGCATCAGCATTTCCTCTGCGACAATAATGACCACTTTGGACGAGGAGGGGGAACTGAAAAAACAAACAAAGAGTATTTGCTATGATAAACGTCCTGATTATGCATCCTTCAGGAAAGCACCCCTGCTCTCCACTCTCCGTCACAGTCATGTGTTGGCAATGGGTGGCGATGGCAATGCCAGCCCAGAGTGATGTGTGTGTACCTTTCTGCATGTGTGTATGTGTGTGCAATACCAGCCCAAAGAGGTGTGTGTGTTTGTGCATGTACGTTCCTGTGTGTTTGTGTGCACGTTCCTGTGTGTACGTTCCTGCATGCCTGTGTGTGTGTGTGGGTTTGTGTGTGAGTGAAGTAAGGGATGGGGGAAATGCTCTTCAAACTGGGCTGTCTTCCAGTCCCTCTGCTTCATTACATCCATATTTCTCCCTCGGTGGCACCACTGAAACTCTCTAAATCTCCCCTTAGTTACGTCTATAAAAGCCTACCGACACAGCCACTGTCTCCTGGCACCAAACGTCTATCGCCTCCCAATGTGTCATTGCTTGTCGGGAAAAAAAAAACACATTTGAAAGACTTCATCCGACACCTTCCATCACATCAGCGTGGGTGCGTTGATCTGCTGCGTCGGAAACACTTTGGCTTGGGAGATGCTGAAAACCGAGTCGAGTGTTTGAGTTGGAATTACATCGTAGCAAATCTTTTAATGTTGAAAGTCTATGCTCTAAACTCTTCTAAAAAGTAAAACTAGAAGAGGTATAGCAAGGCCTCAGAAGTTGGATCTCCTTCCTCATATGACCTTCCTGTCAGACTAACCTTTGACCTATGATGCAGTTCCTGTTGAGGCAGGAAGTAACTCAGGCTGCCATTTTCCTCAACAACAAAAAAAGATAGATACGTGCAAGAAATATCATTAAACTCATTAATAATTTTCAGCACAATTTACTTTGAAACTTTGCTTCAATGATCATGAGGCAATTATTAAACCACAGTTTAGAAAACTACATTCTTGCGTCATGACTCAACAAAATTCCACCAGCTATAACAGCTGATACTCCTGAGTTAAAACCAGGAGGGGTCGGTGGAGCTGGAGCTACAGTACTTCCAATCAGCATAGCCTGGCATGATATTGACCAGTCACAACAGCTACAAGTTAGTGAAAACAGAAAACACTGTGGAGCCAGTGCACTACCAAACTAAAAACCTACCCCCCAAAATAAAAAAAATAAAAACAAACACAGGCCTTGAGTACCTAGAGTGCAATTTGGAGCGAAACCTCTTGGGCACACAAGCAGCGTCATTACTTATTAATCGCTCTCTGCGATAAGTTTCCCAAGCCAGAGTGTTTCCTTGTGTTCCGACAGTCATAATACTCTCTCCTTATTTACTCCGACAATCTCCCTGAGAGGCAGTCGTCCCAAGTTTCAATTAGCCAAAGTAGCAAATCATTAATAACGAGTTGCGATGAAAACATCAGAGAGGGGGTCATCATGGTAATAGGATGGAGACACTCTCCTACTGTAAGTACCATCAATCAAACAGATTGTTTGACAGACACCTTGTAGTACTATAGTGCGGGTATTTGATTGGATAGAACGTGACAGTCTTTGAGGAGGAATAGCCTGTTGCCAGTGGTTTAGTTCATTGACGTGATGGGAGAAGAGCTGGAGAAGGTATAGAGAGACATAGAGGCCCCTTGAGCAAGGTTGAGGAACTGTCTATGTTGAATTATGCAACACCCTTTCTGTAAACCATTGGTATGGGATAAGGCATCTACTGGAGATTGTGATGAAACATATGATGCTCAGAACATCAGCATGGTGTGATGGTATGTGAGATACGGTCTTCCAGGCTCTTCTATTGCCTGATTAGGTGAAATAGCTGAGGATACAGCCAGCCCTTAACAATTAGGTGGAAACATATGTAGGTTTGAACTCGGATCTTCTGCACCCTATAAGACTGTGTTAGCCCACTGACCTAAAGCCTAGGCCCCAAGCACGTGAACATGGTTCACTGAACCACCTCTGATATACACACATAAACAAATGAACATAAACTATATGTAACTAAAGATAAATTAAAAGTTAAACGTGGAAATATGATTTTGGTGTATACGGAGCAAAACTAAAGCAAAAGTCTTGATTTAATGGTAGAGCTTGTCGAATTGCAGTTGTCGGCTATGTTGTAGACCACTATTTCCCCACAATTTCACTGATTACTGTAAAAATATATCACACCCGCTCACAATGTACCACTTTAGAGACATCTTGTCACTGATTAAATTGATAAAACCATTACCATGACAATAGTGTTTGTCTCTTCTACTTTTGATAAAGAGCTACTTGTGTAGAGACACTGGCCTTGGTGAAATGAGCTAGGATAGGATATCAGGTCCAATTTCACATATTGTATCTGTCTGGGATTGCTATGGCAGAATAACCCTATCAAACCATGGATCAGCTTACTTGTATAAAGACTGCTTTCGTGCAACAGTTGTGGAGTCATACACAACACAGTGTAACAATGTAATAAAGTGACATATAGTATCTTAAATATACTGTGTGAAGACCTATGGTCTACCATAAAAAAAGCTGTTTTTAAGCACCCTATGTAGATGTTTATTAGCAGATATGAGACTTCTGTTGTGCATTATAATGCATTATGCATAGCTCATAAGGTGTTAGAAATGTGCTTATGATGCATTCTGAAGAGAGTATTCATATGAAGTGTTACTCAACTTTCAAGTCTCTTTCCCCCCACCTTCTCGAGATCGAGAGAGAACGAGATTCGAGAAGCGAATAGCGGAGCTTATGAGGATCTAGCTCTCTCGATATAGAGCTCTATCGCTCCTCTATCGTCTCCTATCTTCTCTCTCTCTATCTCTCTCTCTCTCTTCTCTCTCTCTCTCCTCTCTCTCTCTCTCTCTCTCTCTCTCACTCTCTCTCTCTTGCTAAGCACTACAGCAGCTCCATCAGTGTGAACATAATTTAGATTTCCCCTTAGACACATGGGGGGGGGGCCATGTCGAGGAGAGATGAGAGTGTGGGGGGAGAGAGGTTAAAACCAGAGGGTGCCAGCTGGTGTGTAATCACTGTTTTAACCTCCTTCTTTGTCATTAATCTTTGTAAGAGATTCCAGCACAGGCTCTACCACCCATGACAGCCCATTAGCTCGCTACAGTTCAAGGGAGTTCGGGATGGGATGGGGGGGGGAGGTGTGGTGGGGGGGAGTTGTAAGGGAGGGTTAAGGGAGACATTTAGCAAATTTGAGGACTTTAGTAGTGTAGAGGCATCTAGCCTTAAGACCAGGCACCACACCCTAATAGGGATTTTGTTTTTCCTTTATCATATCACAATCAACTTTTACCAGTTGAATGTAGATACAAATATAATACTTTTTGTATTAACGTTTTTCTGAGATATTGTATTACAATATGCAAATGAGGCTAAAACACATTTTTTGGGACACTGGATTAAGTCAGCCTAAATATTTTGGTTTCATTTTGCTAAGACACTCCAGGACCGGATTTACTCAGAGCAGATTGTGGATAAATACTTTTTTCATATTTCTATCTGTAAAATACGTAAAATACGTAAAAACATATCAACAATTCCCTCTGGGCAAGTCTCGAGAATATATCTAAGGATAACCACACACAATTTGGTGAATGTATATGCTTCTGAAGCTGAGGAAAATGAGTTGGCATGTGGGAAGAGACTGACTTTTGAGAAATGACAGTTAAAGACAGGTACACTTCAAACTAAGTTACTACATACACTGAGTGTACAAAACATTAACGACACCTTTTGCCCTCAGAACAGCCTCAATTGGTCGGGGCATGGACTCTACAAGGTGTCGAAAGCATTCCACAGTGATGCTGGTCCATGCTGACTCCAATGCTTCCCACGGTTGTGTCAAGTTGGATGGATGTCCTTTGGGTGGTGGACCATTCTTGATATACACGGGAAACTGTTGAGCATGAAAAACCCAGCAGCGTTGCAATTCTTGACACAAACCGGTGCACCTGGCACCTACTACCATACCCCATTCAAAGGCACTTAAATATTTTGTCTTGCCCATTCACCCTCTGAATGGCACACATTCACAATCCATGTCTCAATTGTCTCAATGCTTAAAAGTCCTTCTTTAACCTGTCTGTTCCATTTCATCTACACTGATTGAAGTGGATTTAACAAGTGACAGCAATAAGGGATCATAGCTTTTATCTGGAGCAGGTGTTCTTAATGTTTTGTATACTCTGTGTATAGTTCAGTTTGTTACATTCTGTATGAAATGGGCTTTTAAATGATGTGTACATTTTACAATTATGGATGTAATTTTCATCATAGGTACACGTCAACTATGACAGACAAAATGAGAAAAAAAATCCAGAAAATCACATTGTAGGATTTTTTATGAATTTATTTGCAAATCATGGTGGGAAATAAGTATTTGGTCAATAACAAAGGTTTCTCAATACTTTGTTATATACCCTTTGTTGGCAATGACACAGGTCAAACGTTTTCTGTAAGTCTTCACAAGGTTTTCACACACTGTTGCTGGTATTTTGGCCCATTCCTCCATGCAGATCTCCTCTAGAGCAGTGATGTTTTGGGGCTGTCGCTGGGCAACACAGACTTTCAACTCCCTTCAAAGATTATCTATGGGGTTGAGATCTGGAGACTGGCTAGGCCACTCCAGGACCTTGAAATGCTTCTTACGAAGTCACTCCTTCGTTGCCCGGGCGGTGTGTTTGGGATCATTGTCATGCTGAAAGACCCAGCCACGTTTAATCTTCAATGCCCTTGCTGATGGAAGGAGGTTTTCACTCAAAATCTCACGATACATGGCCCCATTCATTCTTTCCTTTACACGGATCAGTCGTCCTGGTCCCTTTGCAGAAAAACAGCCCCAAAGCATGATGTTTCCACCCCCATGCTTCACAGTACGTATGGTGTTCTTTGGATGCAACTCAGCATTCCTTGTCCTCCAAACACGACGAGTTGAGTTTTTACTAAAAAGTTATATTTTGGTTTCATCTGACCATATGACATTCTCCCAATCCTCTTCTGGATCATCCAAATGCACTCTAGCAAACTTCAGACGGGCCTGGACATGTACTGGCTTAAGCAGGGGGACACGTCTGGCACTGCAGGATTTGAGTCCCTGGCGGCGTAGTGTGTTACTGATGGTAGGCTTTGTTACTTTGGTCCCAGCTCTCTGCAGGTCATTCACTAGGTCCCCCCGTGTGGTTCTGGGATTTTTGCTCACCGTTCTTGTGATCATTTTGACCCCACGGGGTGAGATCTTGCGTGGAGCCCCAGATCGAGGGAGATTATCAGTGGTCTTGTATGTCTTCCATTTCCTAATAATTGCTCCCACAGTTGATTTCTTCAAACCAAGCTGCTTACCTATTACAGATTCAGTCTTCCCAGCCTGGTGTAGGTCTACAATTTTGTTTCTGGTGTCCTTTGACAGCTCTTTGGTCTTGGCCATAGTGGAGTTTGGAGTGTGACTGTTTGAGGTTGTGGACAGGTGTCTTTTATACTGATAACAAGTTCAAACAGGTGCCATTAATACAGGTAACGAGTGGAGGACAGAGGAGCCTCTTAAAGAAGAAGTTACAGGTCTGTGAGAGCCAGAAATCTTGCATGTTTGTAGGTGACCAAATACTTATTTTCCACCATAATTTGCAAATAAATTCATTAAAAATCCTACAATTTGATTTTCTGGATTTTTCTTCTCTCAATTTGTCTATCATAGTTGATGTGTACCTATGATGAAAATTACAGGCCTCTCTCATCTTTTTAAGTGGGAGAACTTGCACAATTGGTGGCTTTATGTCCATTTTAAAGTAGTTAAAATGAATGACATTTTTATGACGGTAGTATGATAAACTAAAGAAAATATACATTAATGGACCAAACTACTAACTAATCAAAAAATTGACAGGTAGATGCAAAAATGTCATTTCAGCCTGTGGGGCCATCAGTCATTTGAACTTCTAGCTCAAACCCAAGTAGGCATGTCTATTGGTGGACCAATGGTACAATTTGCGCCTGCCTGCCTGCCTGCCTGAGTGAGTTTCACCTAATGCTATTGTCATTTGTTGTGCCAGTTCTCAGTGTATCTACTGTACCTCCAAATGTTCTACCATTAAAGTCCAACTTCTCTCAAAAGTGATTTGCATTTCTATTTGGAGCAACATCATTAAGAAGCAGGAACCATTAACCAGGCATAATAAGGACTAGTATAAATTCAGATTTTTTAAAACCTTATTTTCAATATCGAGAGACAGTAAAATACTGGGATTTTAAATAACTTTTTTCTTTCAAAGACGAAAACCTCTGTGTAGCCCTTTACACTCATACCCGTATATGGGTTGAAAATGGCAGATTTGGACACTAATGAGCACCTAAATTGGAAAGCAGTGGCTGTACAGTAACATGCTATACAATGCATTCGGAAAGTATTCAGACCCCTTGACTTTTTCCACATTTTGTTACGTTACAGCCATTTTCTGAAATGGATGAAATAGTTTTTTCCCTCATCAATCTACACACAATACCTCATAATGACTAAGCAAAAACTGTTTTTTGGAAATGTTTGTAAATTTATTAAAATTGAAAAATTGAAATATCACATTAACATAAGAATTCAGACATTCAGTACTTTGTTGAAGCACCTTTGGCAGCGATTACAGCCTCGAGCCTTCCTGAGTATGACACTACAAGCTTAACACACCTGTATTTGGGGAGTTTCTCCCATTCTTCTCTGCAGATCCTCTCAAGCTCTGTCAGGTTGTATAGGGAGCATTGCTGCACAGCTATTTTCAGGTCTCTCCAGAGATGTTTGATCGGGTTCAAGTCCGGGCTCTGGCTGGGCCACTCAAGGACATTCAGAGACTTGTCCCGAAGCCACTCCTTTGTTGTCTTGGCTGTGTGGTTAGGGTCGTTGTCCTGTTGGAAGGCGAACCTTCGCCCCAGTCTGAGGTCCTGAGCGCTCTGGAGCAGGTTTTCATTGAGGATCTCTCTGTACTTTGCTCCGTTCATCTTTCCCTCGATCCTGACTAGTCTCCTAGTCCCTGCCACTGAAAAACATCCCCACAGCACGATGCTGCCACCACCATGCTTCACCGTAGGGATGGTGCCAGGTTTCCGCTTGGCAGTTCAATCTTGGTTTCATCAGACCAGAGAATCTTGTTTCTCGTGGTCTGAGAGTCCTTTAGGTGCCTTTTGGCAAACTCCAAGCGGGCTGTCAAGTGCCTTTTACTGAGGAGTGGCTTCCATCTGGCCACTCTACCATAAAGGACTGATTGGTGGAGTGCTGCAGACATGGTTGTCCTTCTGGAAGGTTCTCCCATTTCACAGAGGAACTGTGGAGCTCTGTTAGAGTGACCATCGGGTTCTTGGTCACCTCCCTGACCAAGGCCCTTCTCCCCCAATTGCTCAATTTGGCCGGGCAGCCAGCTCTCGGAATAGTCTTGGTGGTTCCAAACTTCTTCCATTTAATAATGATGGAGGCCACTGTGTTCTTGGGGACCTTCAATGCTGGATATATTTTTTGGTACCCTTCCCCAGATCTGTGCCTCAACACAATCCTGTCTCAGGGCTCTGCGGACAATTCCTTCGACCTCATGGCTTGGTTTTTGCTCAGAAATGCACTGTCAACTGTGGGACCTTATATAGACAGGTGTGTGCCTTTCCAAATCATGTCCAATCAAGGTCTGAATACTTTCTGAATGCACTTTACATGACGTCAGAGCACTTTCTCTGTCCTTCACAGCTATGTATGGGTTTTGACTGAACTTGAGCACAGCGCAACAAGAAATTGCCCCATCCTTCCCGCTAAATGGGCAACTTTTGCAAATATTTTGTTTTCTGAGTGAGGGAATTTCTGTAAATTACGAGGACTCTATTTATTTTGAAAGATGAGACGTTGAGGATTATAATCAATACTGCTTTAATGTCATACAAGCAAGTCAAACACCCATGAGTCCAAATGTCCACTTCACATTTCCATATCAGAAAACTCATGTAATATACAGTGTCAACTTTTATGATGTACAGTTACAAGATGACAGAATGAGCCTATGTTTGTTGTATTGTGATGAAAATTTGGCACGGACCACACATCTGAATGTTTTTCCCTGCCGTGGACCACTTATCATGACCAATGTTCCCTCTAATCTTTTTCGGCAATGAACCAATTTCAGGTCTGTTGAGCTCAAACTTGAATGTTGTGAAAATGATGTGTAACTTCCAGCACACATTTACTGTGAACACTGAGGTTGTACCGCTTTAAGTTACAGTTTTAACAGTGGCCAAGTAGGCTATTGTGGCTATTTGATCACAATGTAGGGCTACTAGAGTGGCCTACCATCAAAAACAATGGAGAAATGCATCACATAACATTTTAACGTGGAAATAGCTGATCTATCATTCAGCCAACAGTAGCAGCCAATGTGTTGTGTTTAATGTAGGCCTGCATTCTGTAAGACTTTTAAAAAAAAACATGCAGGGCTTGACATTAACTTGTTTATCCACTTGTCTTTCAGACAAGGTGACTGAAAATGTTGTTGTGTTGTTTGATGCAAGAAACCACTTTCTAAAATAAAATGCATTATTATTCCCATACCTTTATTACAGAGAATCAGACAGATTATGCTACCCTCTGTCTTTTGCCTACTTAGCTTATTCAAGCCTGTCTCAAAATACAACACTGGATATTAACTAAATGTGCACACGTGGCTTCATGCAGCTCTCGCTTTGGTCTCAAAACAAGCACATCTACGCAAGACGGCTCTTGCTGTAAACAGTCCAGTTTGAAGTAAATGGCACAAATCCATATATGGCAATTGCGTATTTGCATGTAGGCCTACTGCTGCTCTGATTGGTTATACCGCACTGGTCTTTGTCCTGAGTGTCAATGCAGTAGAATCCTACTCCAATGCATTCTGCCTACAAATAAATCTCTTGCATAGTTAGTTTTGCATACTAAGTCTTGCATAGTTTGTTTTGTTTCGGTCTGTTGAATTGAAAGTGGCTAATATTGCGTTGATTCGATCACAATTGCCACAGTAAAGGGAAATGTTGATAGTGTTAACTAACAGGGAAAACTCTAGAAAGTTGAGTGAAGCTTAATCTTGTACTTCTCTCAGTGGTCTGAGCAGCAGTCCCAGGGAGCTGCAAGGCAGTCTCTCTCAGCGTGCACATTGCTCATGACTACATTGTATGCTCACCAAAATGACGATATGTGTTTCTGAATTGCCTTGTGAAAGCCTAACACTGTAAGATTGTATTATATAATTTAGCTAGAAATGTTGGCGATAGAACAAGCTTTCAAATTATTCCCACCTGACCCAAATTGTGATTTATAATGGACCGTTTTTTTATTGCGTAAACGACAAAAGTAATTGTGTAAAGGCAGGGATGCAGGGCTGTGTTCCAAACAAAACAACTACAAGCGTTGTTGCTCTAGTTCCTCAACGGAGAGCAAATTTTATTTTTTACCTCGTATTTGATGACTCTTCTTAGAGTCATGAAAGTGCATTGAAATCATCAAAATTACTTAGGAACTGTGCACACTTTGGAGAGGTGTGGCCTCTTGGAGACACCAGTGAGACCTCTCACTCAAACCCTTGTCATATTTTTTGTCTTATGTTGCACCTACCCCAAATTTTCCAAGAATATTCTTATCATGTTACTGAATGTATCCAGAATATTTTCAGATTTTGTTATCAACAAATGCGGAGAAAAGTACAGTAAATGTAAAATGCACATAACATCAATAGTGTAATGTTTGGATTCAGTCTTGTGTCAGGTGAACTGTTGTGTCCTCACCTTTAGTCTAACAACTTCACCATAGTCTCCAAACAGTTCCCTTTTAATTGCTACCATGGTTATGCATATGCTTTTCATATATTTCAATTTAGCCCTATCCATATAGGCCAATTCCCACGAGTGTAAGGGGTTAAATTCCTTTCACTGTTCCTCCACAGGATCTAAGTGAGTTAATTACATGGTCTATCAGTGCTGTTCCAGATTGACCCTCTTACATGAAACTCCAAAACCTGTTTAAAACAGACCTGTTCAGCACTGTGCACTCTCTTCAATGGCCTTAATTAAGAGAGCTCGTTACAATTCTCAAAACGCTCAATTAGTGCAGTTCCCTTTGATGACCCTCTGTGATTACACTTCTGTGAAAGACTAGTAGAGTTCAGGAATGATGAGTGCAAATGAGAGAAGAGAGAGAGAGAAAAAGAAAGAAAGATAGGAAGAAAGAAGAAAAAAACACAGCTGTAGTTGTGCATGTACCATCTATACAATCCTTTCATGTTCACAGCCACGATTATAGCTCCAGACCAGCTAAAAAAGTTTCTCACTACCCTACTTACATCTATTGGACCCCACCATTACATCCAATCTTTAGACTATTATAGAAATCCTCACTGCAGTCAGTGTATTCATCTGTCTGTCAGGACCAGTCTCTGTGAAGCAGATGGTACTCCTCTCAATCATTGCAATGTTACACTAATTGAAGGCCTCCACATGCAGTCCTGTAGATAAATGCCCAACAAAAATGCTATCATCACAAAGGCACTGGATCAATGGGAGATAGTAGATCAATCTGCCTGCATTATTAGACAGACAGACTGGGGGATTAACTAAATCACCATCATCCATCTGCAGGCGACGTAATTTTGTCATCATCTGTCGTGAGATTGCATATTTCATCATCACACGACCAAACGATTAGCTTTCGCAACCGGGTCCCAAACTTATCGATGGTGCGTCTGTTTTCACAGTAAATTAGCATCATTAGTCACCATTACCCTTCTTTTCCTCGAGTCTCTCCGCGACAGGCGGACCCGTCCCATTCGTTTCAGTTGTTTTTTATTTACTTGTCATCTTCTTGTGACTAGTTTGGAACCGGGGACTCATTAACGAATAAACTGAACTGACGTCAGGGACTGATTGGCGGCTCCAAATAAAAAACAGGCTCAGTGCGATTGTGTGAAACCCCGTGGCAGTATAATTTCATCTCCGACACCGCCTTGGTTATTAAGATGGACGTTTCCTGTCGTTTGTCATGATTTATTCTATTTAGGCACAGTTCACTAATCGAGCCGTTCATTTATTTTCAATCAGCATTGCCTGTAAAAGTCAAAGTGAGTTATAAACCACTACTAAAGAACGCCCACTTGATTAGGCTGCGGTAATGGCAGTAATATTGGTTCACAGGTGTCATGTGTTTTACTATATGGTCATAAAATATGACACGCATTAGGGCAGTAATGGCTCTATTATTATAAATGACATTACAGTGCCTCGGCTGTCAGAGACTGTTGGTTTAGTCACAGTTATCGTCAACTCCAGGGCGATGGACTTCAAAAGGCGCGCAGATGCTCGACAGAGGAATAAACGGGCACAAAAGGAATGAAACATTCTCTTTGTTGCCTTTGATGGCACTTTCTTCCAAGTCAGAATGACAGTGTGAAATTAAAATAAACACATTCTCACTTAGCACTGTGTGTGCAGAGTGCAGACCTTGAGAGTTCAACTGTGGGGCTGACTGACTGAAAGACTTTCAAGACTGTTTGTCATGGGTAGAGTGTGGCATTTTCTGGCACCTGTTTTTCTGAACCGAAAGTTCATTCCGAATCCGATACCCAGGCTCAATGGCTGAACTTCGGATGAAATTGAGTTTTATCAGGTTAAAGAGAAAACAAAGGGAGAGAGAGTGTGAGAGAGAGAGAGAGGGAGAGAGAGAAAAGAGAGTGAGAGATTGCAAGAATGAAGTTCACCAAATGGTGCAATTATTATTTCAAAACTATTATTTCTCACCCCTCAGAGCACTCCCCACTCCCCATTCCACCACATAATTTCAACGTGAATAATTGGGCAATATTTAGTTGAGACATTTATCAATGAGATTACAACCTATCCCTATACCCACTCAAAAAGACAGCCAAAAGTTAGTTACATTTCCAACCATAAAAGCACAACCAAATTCCAATGGAAAAACTATGTCTGATTTTTGGTTTAGTTGTCACCCAAATGTCTATCACTGCACTTTCAACCATTGAAAAGCAAAGTTCAAATGGGAATACAATGGCAGATATTTATTTCATTTATACAACAGATTCATGTTTTATCACTGTGCTTCATCTAATAGCAGAACCAAATGGCCTGGGTCGCAGTTGAGATTGCATTAAAAGTACATGGTGCACGTGATCAATGCCGTTCGAGATTCTGCGCAGATTATTACAGCAATTGTGAAGATCTCCACAGACGTGCGAAAACCTATGCATGCTATCTTGAACATGCACACTTTATATGATTGCATAATAAGAAATTTATAGTTACAGTAACCTCAATGTGGCAATGGATGTGTTACTCATTTTAAGGTTGAATGTTACATTAGTTTGTACGATAGCCTTAACTTTAGGTTATTTACTGTATTATAAAAGTAATATTGAATTGTGTTTGGTTGACATCACAACCAAATATCAAGATTTAAAGGAGATGTATCTACTGCTTGGATAGTTCCATTTGAGCCACTGTCTTAATCCCATTCTTTAACTTTTATTTGTGGTTTAGATGGAGACATGAATCCAACATATAATTTTGACACGTTAATAGGCTATTTATTCTATTTCAAAAGTGATATTGAATTGTGTTTGGTTGTCAACGCAACCAAATATCAGCATTTGAAGGAGATTTATCTTCTGCTTGGACTGTTCCGAGTGCCACTGACTTCCAGTTTGTCTACAAATTAATAATTGATATGTTGGATTCACATCTCCATCTCAACCAAAAATCTACAGTGCCTTCAGAAAGTATTCATATCCCTTGACTTATTCCACATTTTGTCGTGTTACAGCCTGAATTCAAAATGGATTTAAAAAAAATCTCACCCATCTACACACCATATCCCAGAATGACAAAGTGAAAGCATGTTTTTTGTACCTTTAGTGGTAACACTGTACAATACATTGCATTTATAAATAGTCTATAAAGAGCTTATAGTTATGTTATTAATGGTTATTTAAGCATTTGTAAATGCATTATAAACCATTTATAAACTGTTATAACATATTGGTCAAAATAGTGCGATAGCTGGTCAGTGCTTGCCAAATAGTGAGCCAATATTTACCTCTAGTTATTAACCATTTATAAATGCACTTACAAATGCTTATAAGATTAACCCTAATGTATCATCATGCAACCTTATTTTCAATTATTTCACAATTGTTATTTTCTCACTTTCGGATGTAATGTATTCAGTGGCGATTTTAGCATGTAAATCTTGGTGGGGCAAACAAAAACAATTCGATGCATGCCAGCAAAGCCACTACACAACACAACACAACACTACACTAAACAATACATTAATTGCACTATAACGGTGACAAACGGTGCTCACAAACTGTTAGGGCCTACATAAAGCTGTCCCAACAGCAGAACTTTATTTTCAACACCATTGAGTGAATCCTTACCACCACTACACCCGGCTTTTAGCGGATACTTGTCTGGGAGCAAATCAGTTCATTCAGCCTCATTTACTGCCTTTTTAAAAAACATAGCTGATATGGATGACTTGCTTAAACAAATGTGGTTTCTACTGACAATTGAGATGTACAAACTATGGCATAAGGGAACGACGAGCGGATAAGAGGCAATCCATAATTTTGATTAAGACATTAATGAACGAGCTAGGATGGACGTAGTCAATATAACTATATTTGTTCATCACTTTTGAATTGTAGACGTGACGCTTGGCATTCAGGCCAAATAGTTCAATCTTGGTTTCATTAGACCCAGAGAATTTTGTTTCTCATGGTCTGAGAGTGCCTTTTGGCAAACTCCAAGAAGGCTGTTATGTCCACTCTACCATAATGGCCTGATTGGTGGAGTGCTGCAGAGCTCTGTCAGAGTGACCATCGGGTTCTTGGTCACATCCCTGACCAAGGCCCTTCTCCCCTGATTGCTCAGTTTGGCGGGCAGCCAGCTGAAGGAAGAGTGTGGTGGTTCCAAACTTCTTCCATTTAAGACTGATTGAGGCCACTGTGTTCTTGGGGACATGCAATGCTGCAGAATGTTTTTACTACCCTTCACCAGATCTGTGCCTCGACATAATCCTGTCTCGGCTCTCTACGGACAATTCCTTCGACCTCATGGCTTGGTTTTTGCTCTGACATGCACTGTCAACTGTGGGATCTTATATAGACAGGTGTGTGCCTTTGCAAATCATGTCCAATCAATTGAATTTACCACAGGTGGACTCCAATAAAGTTGTAGAAACATCTCAAGGATGATCAATGGAAACAGGACGTACCTGAGCTCAATTTCGAGTCTCATAGCAAAGGGTCTGAATACTTATTTAAATAAGGTATTTCTGTTTGTAATTTTTTATACATTTGCAAAAATTTCAAAATAATTGTTTTCACTTTTCCATTATGGGGTATTGTATGTAGATTGCTGAGGATTTTTTTTATTTCATCAATTTTAGAATAAGGCTGTAATGTTTGGACACATCTACTCATTCAAAGGTTTTTCTTTATTTTTCTACATTTTCTACATTGTAGAATAATAGTGAAGACATCAGAACTATGAAATAACACATATGGATTCATGTAGTAACCAAACAAATGTTAAACAAATGAAATTATATTTTATATTTGACATTCTTCAAATAGCCACCCTTTACCTTGATGACTGCTTTGCACACCCTTGGCATTCTCTCAACCAGCTTCACCTGGAATGGTTTTCCAACAGTCTTGAAGGAGTTCCCACATATGCTGAGCACTTGTTGGCTGCTTTTCCTTCACTCTGCCATCCAACTCATCCCAGACCATCTCAATTAGGTTGAGGTCAGGGGATTGTGGAGGCCAGGTCATCTGATGCAGCACTCCATCACTCTCTTTCTTGGTAAAATAGCCCTTACACAGCTTGGAGGTGTGTTGGGTCATTGTCCAAATGATAGTCCTACTAAGCCCAAACCAGATGGGATGGCATATCGCTGCAGAATGCTGTGGTAGCCATGCTGGTTAAGTGTGCCTTGAATTCTAAATAAATCACAGACAGTGTCACCAGCAAAGCACCCCCACACCATATCACCTCCTCCTCCATGCTATACGGTGGGAACTACATATGCGGAGATCATCCATTCATCCACACCACGTCTCACAAAGACACAGCGGTTTGAACAAAAAATCTCCAATTTGGACTCCAGACACAAGGACAAATTTCCACCGGTCTAATGTCCATTGCTCGTGTTTCTTGGCCCAAGCAGGTCTCTTCTTCTTATTGGTGTCCTTTAGTAGTGGTTTCTTTGCAGCAATTTGATCATGAAGGCCTGATTCACACAGTTCCCTCTGAACAGTTGATGTTAAGATGTGTCTGTTGCTTGAACTCTGTGAATAATTTTTTGGGACTCCAATTTCTGAGGCTGGTAACTCTAATTAACTTATCCTCTGCAGCAGAGGTAACTCTGGGTCTTCCATTCCTGTGGCGGTCCTCATGAGAGCCAGTTTCATCATAGCGCTTGATAGTTTTTGCGACTCCACTTGAAGAAACTCAAAGTTCTTGAAATGTTCAGTGTTGACTCACCTTCATGTCTTAATGTATTGATTGACTGACGTTTCTCTTTGCTTACTACCTCAGGAAGCTGGTTGAGAGAATGCTAAGAGTGTGCAAAGCTGTCATCAAGGCAAAGGGTGGCTATTTGAAGAATCTCAAATATAAAATATATTTTGATTTATTTAACACTTTTTTGGTTGATTCCATAAGTGTTATTTCATAGTTATTACGTCTTCAATATTATTCTACAATGTAAAAAATAGAAAAAATAAAGAAAAACCCTTGAAGGAGTAGGTGTGTCCAAACTTTTGAATGGTACTGTATATAACACAGGGCTGAAACCCAAACGAAAGAGCGAGGTTTAAACCTCTAAATACAGTGAGGGAAAAAAGTATTTGATCCCCTGCTGATTTTGTACGTTTGCCCACTGACAAAGAAATGATCAGTCTATAATATTAATGGTAGGTTTATTTGAACAGTGAGAGACAGAATAACAACAAAAAAATCCAGAAAAATGCATGTCAAAAATGTTATAAATTGATTTGCATTTTAATGAGGGAAATAAGTATTTGACCCATTCTCAATCAGAAAGATTTCTGGCTCCCAGGTGTCTTTTATACAGGTAACGAGCTGAGATTAGGAGCACACTCTTAAAATTATAGAGTGATCATTTCTTTGTCAGCGGGCAAACATACAAAATCAGCTGGGGATCAAATACTTTTTTCCCTCACTGTATATACATGGGACGAGACCCGTAATAACAAGAAGACAATACACAGTACTCACGAGACCAACGGACATGGGACGATAATCGACAAGGACAATGGGGAACAGAGAGCCCATATATATACACATACACATACTAATCAGGGGGAATGGGAACCAGGTGTGCGTAATGAGACAAGACAGTCCGGGGTTGGTGGTAATGATCCATGTCAGGGACGCCTAGAAGGCCATTGACGTAGACCTCCGGAACTGGTGAACGGAATGAGCAGCAATACCGGGGGGACCCATGAGGACGATACCCGGAGGTGAGACTATCAGACAGTTGATGGTACGGCCTATCCTAGGATGACCCGACACCGGCAGCGTGTGCTCCCAGGCGTATATTTCAGCGGAATATAATTTAACCAATAATCACTGTTACAACGTGTTACACTGCCCTTTCCCCCCTGGACAAAATTAACATCTATGTGAGAATGCTGTTCATTGACTACAGCTCAGCGTTCAACACCATAGTGCCCACAAAGCTCATCACTAAGCTAAGGACCCTGGGACTAAACACCTCCCTCTGCAACTGGAATCTGGACTTCCTGACGGGCCGCCCCCAGGTGGTAAGGGTAGGTAACAACACATCTGCCACGCTGATCCTGAACACTGGGGCCCTTCAGGGGTGCGTGCTTAGTCCCCTCCTGTACTCCCTGTTCACCCACGACTGCGTGGCCAAGCACGACTCCAACACCATCATCAAGGTTGCTGACGACACAACAGTGGTAGGCCTGATCACCGACAACAATGAGACAACCTATATGGAGGAGGTCAGAGACCTGGCAGTGTGGTGCCAGGACAACAACCTCTCCTTCAATGTGAGCAAGACAAAGGAGCTGATCGTGGACTATAGGAAAAGGAGTGCCGAACAGGCCCCCATTAACATCGACGGGGCTGAAGTGGAGCGGGTCGAGAGTTTCAAGTTCCTTAGTGTCCACATCACCAACAAACTATCATGGTCCAAACACACGAAGACAGTTGTGAAGAGGGCACGACAACACCTTTTCCCCCTCAGGAGACTGAAAAGATTTGGCATGGGTCCCCAGATCCTCAAAAAGTTACACAGTTGCACCATCGAGAACATCCTGACCAGTTGCATCACCGCATGTTATTGGCAACTGCTCGGCATCTGACCGTAAGGTGCTACAAAGGGTAGTGCGTACGGGCAGTACATCACTGGGGCCAAGCTTCCTGACATCCAGGATCTATACACTAGGCGGTATCAGAGGAAAGCCCCAAAAATGGTCATAGAATCCAGTCACCCAAGTCATAGACTGTTGTCTCTGCTACTGCAAGGCAAGCAGTACCGGAGCGCCAAGTCTAGGACCAAAAGGCTCCTTAACAGCTTCTACCCCCAAGCCATAAGACTGATGAACAATTAATCAAATAGCCACCCGGACTATTTACATTGACCCCCCCCCTCCCCCCTTTGTTTTGACACTGCTGCAACTCGCTGTTTATTATCTATGCATAGTCACTTTACATATTACCTCGACTAACCTGTACATTGACATTGACTCGGTACCGGTACCCCTGTATATAGCCTCGTTATTGTTATGTAATTTTCTTGTGTTACTTTTTGATTTGGTTAGATTTTTTACTTTAGTTTATTTAGTAAATATTTTCTTAACTCTATTTCTTGAACTGCATTGTTGGTTAAGGGTTTGTAAGTAAGCATTTCACGGTAAGGTCTACCTACACCTGTTGTATTTGGCGCATGTGACAAATACAATTTTATTTGATTTACAACTGTTTAGAATACAGTCATTACTTAGTCAAGTGCAAGTGTGTGCATTATAGTAAACTAAGTGGCAGGTTTGTTTCCACGTTTCCAAAAGTAGTGTTGAGATGTCAATGCCCCAGGCCATCGGTTGTGTAGATCCAGCTACATGACTCAAAAGATGGGCACTGTCTAATCTTTTCCATTCATCTGGAGTTGAGACATATAGTTGGATCTACACAACCAATGTCGTGGGACACTGATCCATCTTGACACAACTTTTGAGGTCTGAGCAGTGTTTTGTCCCTTGAAGTTCACATTCAGGCCTGTAATGAAACCTCATTAAGTTTAGACCGATCTTTTTCAGCAAAACCAAAGGAAGAAGTTGTGGACATTGGTGATAGCAGAAGTGGTATGGAGAAGACCTCATCTAATACATCTTCCTCCTCGTCTTCCTCCATTTCTTCCTCCTCCTCATCTTCAAGCAATCGGAAGCGCAAACACACCAAAGTTCACAAGAGGGCCACGAAGCCGAAGAAAGATACAAAAAAGTGCACATCAGCAAGGCAGCACAGTAAGTTACATTAAGCCCCTATTCACTACACACTACACACTACACAACAGGAATCAATAATTCATGTGAGATATAGAGATGCTTAGATTCCACCGAAGCAGACCGGCAAAATATGTGAATGCGTAATACATACTTTATTAATCCATACAAGACAGAAATTGGTATTCTGCTGTACCCAACCCTGCCGGCATCTAACTAGACTATATTTAAACTGACTAGACAACTAACTTGACTACAGTGTACATATCAACTAAACTGGACTTCTAACACTCACTAACCACATCACTATAATTATCACTATATTTCTAAACTGGGTGTTAAAAAATGTTTATGGTGTTTTTCTAATGTAATTGTATTTATTCTACAGCCAGTGGTGCAAGTGGAGCGCTGCATCGGTATCTGTCCATCTTGAAGACATTTCAGAAGGTCCAGGTTATGTCTCGGGCCTTCGAGAAACACCATGTCAACAGAAACACAGTGGTGTCGACTGCTGCCATTGGGGAGATTGCCGTGGCAGCCACAGAGGTTTATCATGAACTGCTGTCTTGGCCTTTGCAAAGCGCTGCATGGTGGCCATTCAGGGCGATCTCAAGACAAAGATTGAGGGTATGAAGACAGACGGGAAGCTCCTCCCTATTGGGGGGAGCAAGGCTCATACACACTGATGTACATACACATATACACACACAAATACCCATCCACACATTAAACATTTTCAATGCTCAGTCAGTTATATTGTTCAAGTTATAGTATCCAAAACTTGATTGTGCATTTTTATCCCTGATTATGCCTGTTTTTCTGTGCTAAGGCCTTGTTTAGTGTTAATAAAATTGTTTCAACCCTTTCTAAAGAGTCTTGCTGTGTGTGTGTGGTATGGTAACGCTTCAATTTAAGGGGTCCTTATTATAGTGTAATTACATGTGTAATTATACCATAAAAAGAATTGTAGTTAATTGTAATAACTCATAGTTACACTGTAATAACAACATGTAACTGCTGGTAACTGCAGTCTGTAATTACAGAGGTGAGGCATGCTTGTTACCGTGCTTGTTAGAAATGGGAAAGTTTTCACTAAATGCATCAATTTAGTGTTTTGTTTCTTCTCAGCTGCATCTGATACAGTAACAACTGTCACAAGGTTGTAATCTCTTGTGGACAGATGCGCTGGGTGTCCAAGATTAGAAAGGTAGGAGGCTCAATAGGCTCTACATACCTAACTGTGAATGCACACTCCAAAATATCCACTCAATGTTGTTGCTAGCGGTTGCCTCCCAAAAGTGTATCATCTGGGTTAACTTGGTTGAGTTTACAAAAACAGTTCAGATATAGGTCAACCTCACTGACTACCATACGGCTGTCATCACAGATTATAATATTTGTTTTTCCTTATAGTTAATGTGTATGTTGCCCAGTATGACAACCTGAACCTCCTTGTCATCCAATTGGGAGGATAAACTCACTAGTACACAACAGAGTGCAATATAATTACTAGGTGTTACTCAGAATTTTGCTATTTAAAACATTTTACTGTAGTGGGCTAAATCAGGGTGGGATGGGGGTCATGACCCCCCCGATATTAGAATGAAGCACCGCCGCAAAGCGTTATATTTAGTAGTGAATGCTGCAGAAGAAGCAGAACTCTTTCGTCCGCACGGGCCTTCCTTGTAGACAGAATAAAACATTGTTGGGCGGATTACTTGAAACATTTACTAGTCTAATCCGTAAACCTACTAATGCATTTATTAATAAATTAACTTGTCAGCGGCACACCGAATCTCTCCATCGATTAGAGAAGTATAAGCTCACTTGTGATTGGCACCAATATTTTCGATATGAAAAGAAGACGAAATGTGACTGACCTGCACAGGTAGTGTCCAGATGACTGTGTGCTGATTGACCAATGGGCTAGGTGTGAGTGTTCTGATAGATTAATCTAATCAATCATCTGAATGCTTTAAGAGCCCCCATCGACACCTGATGGGCCATCAGCGGGACAATTAGTCAATCACCCTAAATTTATGTTGGTAATCTGCTATTGTCTGCTTGATTTAAAGCAGCGTCTAGTAAGATTTAACAGAGATAGGAATGATGTTTCAAACAGGGTTAGTTTCAAACAGGATTAGATTTTCCAAACTGCCCCTTGTAATTCTTATTTTTTCACTCAATTGAGTCTTATGACGCCTGGAAGTTTTTATTCTAGGCGTGAAGATATTTCCACATCATGTCTAGACTATAAAAGGGTACACTGATATCTTGTGCTTGTCTGACAAATGTATAGGTGTCCACATAATATTTAAATTGATGAAGTGTGATCCTAATCATTATTTTAGCGATCCACAGTAATATACAGTGCCTTGCAAAAGTATTCATCCCCCTTGGTGTTTTTCCTACTTTGTTGCATTACAACCTGTAATTTAAATAGATTTTTATTTGGATATCATGTAATGGGCATACACAAAATAGTCCAAATTGGTGATGTGAAATGAAAAAAATTACTTGTTTCAAGAAATTCTACAAAATAAATAACGGAAAAGTGGTGCGTGCATATGTATTCACCCCATTTGCTATGAAGCCCCTAAATAAGATCTGGTGCAAACAATTACCTTCAGAAGTCACATAATTAGTTAAATAAAGTCCACCTGTGTGCAATCTAAGTGTCACATGATCTGTCACATGATCTCAGTATATGTACACCTGTTCTGAAAGTTGAAGTCTGCAACACCACTAAGCAAGGGGGACCACCAAGCAGGCGGCACCCTGAAGACCAAGGAGCTCTCCAAACAGGTCAGGGACGAAGTTGTGGAGAACTACATATCAGGGATGAGTAATAAAAAAATATCCGAAACTTTGAACACCATTAAATCCATTATTAAAAAATAATAATTAAATAATAAAGTAAACACGTTTAGTGTTCGCCAAAAGCCATGTGGGAGACTCCCCAAACATATGGAAGAAGGTACTCTGGTCAGATGAGACTAAAATTGAGCTTTTTGGCCATCAAGGAAAACGCTGTGTCTGTCGCAAACCCAACACCTCTCATCACCCAGAGAACACCATCCCCACAGTGAAGCATGGTGTTGGCAGCATCATGCTGTGGGGATGTTTTTCATCCACAGGGACTGGGAAACTGGTCAGAATTGAAGGAATGATGGATGTCGCTAAATACAGGGAAATTCTTGAGGGAAACCTGTTTCAGTCTTCCAGGGATTTGAGACTGGGACGGAGGTTCACCTTCCACCAGGACAATGACCCTAAGCATACTACTAAAGCATCACTCGAGTGGTTTAAGGAGAAACATTTAAATGTCTTGGAATGGCCTAGTCAAAGCCCAGACCTCTTTCCAATTGAGAATCTGTGGTATGACTTAAATGGGGGGCTCGGGGGTGGGGGTGAATAGTTACGTGGGAAAATAAGTATTTAGTCAAAGCACCAATGTGCAAGTCTCCCACTTAAAAAGATGAGAGGCCTGTAATTTTCAAACTTAGGTACACGTCAACTATGACAGACAAATTGAGGAAAAAAAATCAAATTTTGAAAAATCCACATTGTAGGATTTTTTATGAATTTATTGGGAAAATATGGGGAAAAAATAAGGTATTTGGTCACCTACAAAAAGCAAGATTTCTGGCTCTCACAGACCTGTAACTTCTTCTTTAAGAGGCTCCTCTGTCCTCCACTCGTTTCCTGTATTAATGGCACCTGTTTGAACTTGTTATCAGTATAAAAGACACCTGTCCACAACCTCAAACAGTCACACTCCAAACTCCACTATGGCCAAGACCAAAGAGCTGTCAAAGGACACCAGAAACAAAATTGTAGACCTGCACCAGGCTGGGAAGACTGAATCTGCAATAGGTAAGCAGCTTGGTTTGAAGAAATCAACTGTGGGAGCAATTATTAGGAAATGGAAGACATACAAGACCACTGATAATCTCCCTCGATCTGGGGCTCCACGCAAGATCTCACCCCGTGGGGTCAAAATGATCACAAGAACGGTGAGCAAAAATCACAGAACCACACGGGGGGACCTAGTGAATGACCTGCAGAGAGCTGGGACCAAAGTAACAAAGCCTACCATCAGTAACACACTATGCCGCCAGGGACTCAAATCCTGCAGTGCCAGACGTGTCCCCCTGCTTAAGCCAGTACATGTCCAGGCCCGTCTGAAGTTTGCTAGAGTGCATTTGGATGATCCAGAAGAGGATTGGGAGAATGTCATATGGTCAGATGAAACCAAAATAGAACTTTTTGGTAAAAACTCAACTCGTCGTGTTTGGAGGACAAAGAATGCTGAGTTGCATCCAAAGAACACCATACCTACTGTGAAGCATGGGGGTGGAAACATCATGCTTTGGGGCTGTTTTTCTGCAAAGGGACCAGGACGACTGATCCGTGTAAAGGAAAGAATGAATGGGGCCATGTATCGTGAGATTTTGAGTGAAAACCTCCTTCCATCAGCAAGGGCATTGAAGATGAAACGTGGCTGGGTCTTTCAGCATGACAATGATCCCAAACACACCGCCTGGGCAACGAAGGAGTGGCTTCGTAAGAAGCATTTCAAGGTCCTGGAGTGGCCTAGCCAGTCTCCAGATCTCAACCCCATAGAAAATCTTTGGAGGGAGTTGAAAGTCCGTGTTGCCCAGCGACAGCCCCAAAACATCACTGCTCTAGAGGAGATCTGCATGGAGGAATGGGCCAAAATACCAGCAACAGTGTGTGAAAACCTTGTGAAGACTTACAGAAAACGTTTGACCTGTGTCATTGCCAACAAAGGGTATATAACAAAGTATTGAGAAACTTTTGTTATTGACCAAATACTTATTTTCCACCATAATTTGCAAATCAATTCATTAAAAATCCTACAATGTGATTTTCTGGATTTTTTTTCCTCATTTTGTCTGTCATAGTTGACGTGTACCTATGATGAAAATTACAGGCCTCTCTCATCTTTTTAAGTGGGAGAACTTGCACAATTGGTGGCTGACTAAATACTCTTTTTCCCCACTGTATATATGCTCAAGTTTTGTGTTTTTTTGTTTTATTACTTGTTTGTTTCACGATAAAAATATTTTGCATCTTCAAAGTGGTAGGCATGTTGTGTAAATCAAATGATACAACCCCCCCCCCCCCCAAAAAATCCATTTTAATTCCAGGTTGTAAGGCAACACAATAGGAAAAATGCCAAGTGGGGTGAATACTTTCGCAAGCCACTGTATGTAGTGAGCTAGCTAGCTACTGTTCATCAATTGCCAGACAGAAAATAAATAATTTAGCTAATAAAAGCAGAATGTAATTCATGTTAATAGGCTATTAAGGCCAGCCATTTTTGTCATATTATAAAGGCATTTGGTATATGATTATGGCAGGGTTCAAAGATAGGCAATAGAGAGAGTGTGAGAGAGAGGCAGGGAGAGGACAAACAGGTAATCAGGTGAGAATTTCAGTTATAATTCACTATCAGTTCAACTCCTCATCTTTGCTGACTGTAGCCCAAGTGCTATAACAAATGTTGTTGCCTTCATTCTGTTTTCATTTGGTTGTCATGGAGGTTGAAGACGTGGCTGCGCTTAACAATGACTCAAAGCAGATTGAACTATGTTGCCATCTGTCATATCCACCAGGATAAGCTGGATACCATAGATAGGAAAACAATATGCTCATATTG